GGGTTCGCACAGGACGCAGCATTCGTGGCTTCTGTCTGCCGCCACACTGCAGCCGTGGAGAGCGACGCACTATTGAGAACCTCTCCATTGAAAGTACGAGGTCACTTCCTGTATCTTCTGCCGCATGTACAGTGGGGCAAAAAAGTATTTAGTCAGCCACCGACTGTGCAAGTTCCCCCACTTAAAATGATGACAGAGGTCAGTAATTTGCACCAGAGGTACACTTCAACTGTGAGAGACAGAATGTGGAAAAAAAAAAATCCATGAATCCACATGGTAGGATTTGTAAAGAATTTATTCGTAAATCAGGGTGGAAAATAAGTATTTGGTCAATAACAAAAATACAACTCAATACTTTGTAACATAACCTTTGTTGGCAATAACAGAGGTCAAACGTTTACTATAGGTCTTTACCAGGTTTGCACACACAGTAGCTGGTATTTTGGCCCATTCCTCCATGCAGATCTTCTCGAGAGCAGTGATGTTTTGGGGCTGTCGCCGAGCAACACGGACTTTCAACTCCCGCCACAGATTTTCTATGGGGTTGAGGTGTGGAGACTGGCTAGGCCACTCCAGGACTTTCAAATGCTTCTTACGGAGCCACTCCTTTGTTGCCCGGGCGGTGTGTTTTGGATCATTGTCATGTTGGAAGACCCAGCCTCGTTTCATCTTCAAAGTTCTCACTGATGGAAGGAGGTTTTGGCCAAAATCTCACGATACATGGCCCCATTCACTCTGTCCTTAACACGGATCAGTCGTCCTGTCCCCTTGGCAGAAAAACAGCCCCATAGCATGATGTTTCCACCCCCATGCTTCACAGTAGGTATGGTGTTCTTGGGATGCAACTCAGTATTCTTCTTCCTCCAAACACGACGAGTTGAGTTTATACCAAAAAGTTCTAGTTTGGTTTCATCTGACCACATGACATTCTCCCAATCCTCTGCTGTATCATCCATGTGCTCTCTGGCAAACTTCAGACGGGCCTGGACATGCACTGGCTTCAGCAGCGGAACACGTCTGGCACTGCGGGATTTGATTCCCTGCCGTTGTAGTGTGTTACTGATGGTGACCTTTGTTACTTTGGTCCCAGCTCTCTGCAGGTCATTCACCAGGTCCCCCCGTGTGGTTCTGGGATCTTTACTCACCGTTCTCATGATCATTTTGACCTCACGGGATGAGATCTTGCGTGGAGCCCCAGATTGTGGGAGATTATCAGTGGTCTTGTATGTCTTCCATTTTCTGATGATTGCTCCCACAGTTGATTTTTTTCACACCAAGCTGCTTGCCTATTGTAGATTCACTCTTCCCAGTCTGGTGCAGGTCTACAATACTTTTCCTGGTGTCCTTCGAAAGCTCTTTGGTCTTGGCCATGGCGGATTTTGGAGTCTGACTGTTTGAGGCTGTGGACAGGTGTCTTTTATACAGATGATGAGTTCAAACAGGTGCCATTCATACAGGTAACGAGTGGGGGACAGAAAAGCTTCTTACAGAAGACGTTACAGGTCTGTGAGAGCCAGAGATTTTCCTTGTTTGAGGTGACCAAATACTTATTTTCCACCCTGATTTACGAATAAATTCTTTACAAATCCTACCATGTGGATTCATGGATTTTTTTTTTTCACATTCTGTCTCTCACAGTTGAAGTGTACCTCTGGTGCAAATTACTGACCTCTGTCATCATTTTAAGTGGGGGAACTTGCACAATCGGTGGCTGACTAAATACTTTTTTGCCCCACTGTAGCATCATCACTCTGCCCCCTGCCTGCAGACTGCTGTATTATACCTCACTGTCAGCACTTCTACTGTAGATCACTGTCATTCTTCGCTCATTGAAGCTAAAGTATGTCCTTCAGTCAAAGTTATGTTCCTAGCAGAGCCTGACCTTCTGACCTGAAAATTCAGGTTTGTCCCTCCTTCTTAAACCAAAATGTCACTAAAACCTTCATGTAAAGAAAAATGCTGAAGCATACTGTAGTGTGTTTTTTAGAGATCTGATCTGCTCCAAATAACAAAGATTTTTAATTAACACTAATCTAAAATTGGGAACTACATGTGTAAACCTGAACTTAACAAAACAAACAAAATATATGCACATATATATATATATTTTTTTGTTTTAACAAACTTGAGCTCAGGATCGAGGTTTTTATATAAAAAAAAAAAAAAAATGCTGCTTCATATTCATCGGGAGATATTGCAGCGTTTAGCGCCATTATGTAACTGACCTGAGGAAAAAGCTGGAGAACGAACGGAAACAGACCTTTAACTCATTTAAAATGCAGCATTTACAGACTCGAGCATCTGACTGAAACTCAACACTTCCTGTTTTGTTTGTTCAGCTTTGGGAAGGACGTAAAAAAAAGGTCAGACTCAGAGAGGGAGCGTCTGTCTGAGCATTTCAGAGCACCGTCCATCACACTAGAATAGAATTCAACTTTATTGTCATGTGCAATGACAATAAAGTTGAATACTTCATCACATGAAGAATTCAACTTTATTCAACTTTAAGAATTCATCACATTCGCAGTTTCACTGTACCGGCCGCGTGTACTTAGACCTGCATGGCTTAATCAAGTACAAGGCAACGAAATGCAGTTTGCATCCATCCAGAAGTGCTTTAGTGATATAGATATATTACAATATATATTAACAATAATATAGATATGTAAGTATATTACAGAAATGGGTCTATTATGGTATGTTATAATGTACACGGTATGAAGTATGTTGTGAATATTCTATAACTATAGATGTACAGGCTGTAGTGAGTACAGGCTATGAACACTGATGCTGATGTCAGTTTTAGAGTAAAATGAGAACAAACGGATTCTAAATCAGGTTTTTATTGTTTGTTAAATTCACTTTGAGTTTAAACTGTGGTGGTGCATTTAGGGACCGTCTGATGCAGCAGTTTCTTGTGGTCCTGCTGAGGTAGGTGAGGTACAAACTCTCGTCAGTCGGGCTTCATTCAGCTGGGTCTGCAGCTGAAGAGGATAAGTCTTTATTTAGATACTTCCCATAATGCCTCATCGAGTGTGTCGGTGAACGCAGCAGCAGATCAAACTCTTACATAACCCTGAGCTGAGAGCCGTCCTGCTGAGACTGCTAATGAGACCGACAGCTCGCCATTTAAAGCCTGTCTTTCATATTCAAATGCGACTACCGGTTAAAGCCGGCAGACCTGAGATTCTGCTGCACCCTGCTGTCTGAGCTAGTTCCACACCTGCTTTTAAAGACCTCAGGAACCAGGAGACATTTAACTGAGCCATTCTAAGACCCACAGAAATGCGGGTCTCAGAATGATCATGTGATCTCTGTATGATTTCCTCAGCTGTCAGGCCGACTCCTGACCACCTAAACAGTTCAGGCTGCTCAGGTATCTCTGCATCAAAGTGTGAGGAACTGGTACTCTGTTTTCCTGTAGAAAGTCAAGACACTCATCAGAGTAAAGGTGACTTTTTTATAGGTAACGTTCAGGTATGATGGGTAAAAATAAAATGTAATTAATGAGAGATGCTGGCAGGAAACTTCATATGATTTGATATCTAAAAGGGGGTGAAATCTAAAGGGGGGTGAAACTTCCTGGTCACCTTTAGTGAAACAATTAAACCTTTAATTTGCTTTTATTTTGAAAGTCAATACCTGTCCCATTAAAAGTGATTCTGTGAAACAGCTCTAATCTAGTTCAGTTGACACCACTTCCTGTTTGCTCACCTGTCATCCTGAAGTAGGGTTTATGTGTACCTCTGACCTTTGACCTACTGTGTGGTGGCTGCAGCTCTGGCCTCCTTGGAAGGAGACCTGAAGGGGAAGTACTATGCTCTGAAGAACATGACCGAGGAGGAGCAGCAGCAACTCATTGATGACCACTTCCTGTTTGATAAGCCTGTGTCCCCGCTGCTGCTGGCGTCCGGCATGGCCCGCGATTGGCCCGATGGCCGTGGCATCTGGTCAGTATGTAACCCTACAAGTGGAGGTGCAGGGGTGGGGGGGTATAATGAAGTATTGGTTTGGAAAAATATGACTCCAAAGCCAGAAATTGATTTAAATTAACCTGATTCTAACAGAATGAAGAAATGCTGAGAGAGAATAAACTTTGAGCTAGAGCGTCTCAAATATGTCCTTTTTCTGAACAAACACCAGTATAAAAATAACTGTAATGAGAGACAGAATAAAAAAAAAACCGAGTTGAGGTCAAAGTTCAGAACAAAAAATACTGACTCAGAATGGAAGATTCATACATTCATAAAAACAGATGTAGGTGTAATAAAAAAAGGTGAGTCTGATTGAATAGAGGTAAAAGTTGGAAAGATTAATAAAAAAAAAAGTGACCAGAAATAAGGAATAAACATCAGTTTGCTCATGGAATAAAGAATCGCAGCAGTCCTTGGTCGTAGTGTCAAGCTCACTGAACATCCACCCAACCACCACATCCACCCCTGTAGACGGCTTCATTTCATTTCAAAGAATCCAACCACCACTTTAGTCACACCCTAGATCTTGTTTTAACATATGGCATATAAACTGAACATTGAGCAGTGTTTCCTGAAAATCCTCTCTCCTCTTATCATTTCCTGATAACATTTAAATTTACAATAATTGATTACACAGCATTGGAGAGTAGACTTCATCACAGTAGATGTCTTTCTGAAAGTGCTGTAACTAAGTTTGAGAATATAATCCACCCACTGTTATCATCTTCAATGACCTGTACCAACACAGAGCAGAGCAGCTACCTGAACGCTGCTCAAATAGAGGTTGATTATCTTGTTAATAATTTTACCTTCTCACAATGTATGACAATAGATACTGTTGCTCCTGTGAAAAATATGGTCTCAAATTAGAAATACTTGACTCCCTGGTGTAATTCTCAAACACATAGCCTAAAGCAGATAACTTGTAAGATGGAGAGGAAATGGCATGTCACAAATTTACAAGATCATCATTTAGCCTGGAGAAATAGTTTATTGCTTTATAAGAAAGCCCTCCGTAAAGCTAGAACATCTGGTCATCACTGATTGAAGAAAATAAGAACAACCTTAGGTTTCTCTTCAGCACTGTAGCCAGGCTGAAAAAAAGTCAGAGCACTGTTAAGCCAACCATTGTCATATGCTGTGGGAGTGTCTGGTCAGGCATGGTCAAGGTTCCTGTCATCCGTCCTTTGGGGTGGAGTTGGCCAGCTCATCACCTGTTTTCAATCTCCGGGGCTCCACCTAGAGGGTTTTTAAGCCAGCACTGCCTGCCACTCCTCGCCAGTTCGTCCTGCTACCATCTGTGATTCATCACCCGTCGCACTCACCAGTAGTGCTGGTTCCGTCTCCATCCTGTTTTTCCGTCTCCTCGGAACCCAAGGACCACATACACAACTTCTCCTCAGCCTGCCCTTCAGTCCATACTCTCCACCTCCTTGGAATCTGGACCGGACTCTCCACACTCTCGATCCTCTCTGGAATGCTCCCATGGCAGCCTTTTCCCCCACTTAATAACCAGGGTCTCCAAGTAAGCCCAAGACTATCCACTGGCACTCCATACCTCTGTCTCTTACTCGTTTGTCACTCAGTAACACCCTTCTCCTGTGTTTACAGAAAGTTCCCGTTCGAGTTCTCCCTGTGCTCTACGCCTGTTTCCCCGCCCACGGATTTCCCTTAGTTTCTGCGAATGGTTTCTGTTAAACCCAGTTCTGTTCACGTTTTTGTTCCTTCTAATAAATTATACATAGTTCGAGTAATTGAGTCTGCTTTTGAGTCCACCGCATCCTTGTTTGTGACAGAACGAACTGGCCACTAATGGACTCAGCGGACCCAATTCGCGCCGCCATAAATAAACATGTTAGGACGGCATGAACAGACCTTGACGTCCTTAATGGACCAATGTAATGCTATCAGTGAAAAACGGGAAGAGTTACTTACCCGGTTTTCGGAACTCAGGGAGTCTAATCCACCCGTTCTCCCCAGCCAGCCGGGACCGTTGCCTGCGCCCGCCGTTGCGCATCCTGCGATAGAATCGGCTTATCGGGGCATCTCTTCCCCTCCCCTCCGATTGCCTCGTGTTCCTATGAGGACTTCCTCAAGGAATTCAAGGCTACGTTCGCTCACCCGATCTCTGAGGGTACTGCGGCTAAGAGGCTGTTGGGACTCCGTCAGGGAAAACGCAGCGTTGCAGAATACGCGATTGAGTTCCGCACTGCTGCTGTGGAAGCGGGTTGGCCAGACGCCGCGCTGCGGGGGAATTTTCCTAGCGTCCCTTTCCGAACAGATGAAGGATCAGCTGGCTGTGCACGACGAGCTGGCCACGTTCGAAGCGCTCGCCTCTCTCGCTCTCAGGATCGATAGTCGACTGAGGGAAAGAGACGCTGAGAGGCGGTCCAAGCCCTCTCCGTCTCTGTTTCGACCCGTGGCCGTTTCGGCGTTACCCCCGTCGCTTCCGGTGACATCATCCGTCCGTCCTCGCTCTCCTTCCCCTGAGCCTATGCAGATCGGCCGCGCTCGGCTCACTCCTGAGGAGCGGGAGCGGCGTTTCCGAGCCGGAGAGTGCTTCTACTGCGGAGGAAGCGGCCATCGCCTCACTGTTTGCCCGGTCCGGCCAAAAGGCGTGGCCCGCCGGTAAGTCCGGGGTTACGGGTGGGCAATGTTTTTAAGAGTGATAAACCCCGTTTTTTTGCTTTCGGTTTCGTTGATGTCCGGTACTAAGGCTCATTCTTTTCGTGCTCTCGTTGACTCCGGGTCAGAGCAAAATTTGATAGACGCTGCGGTTGCTAAATCATTGAATTTGCCCCTCATTCAGCTCGAGCCTCCGATCCCGGCCGCCGCTTTGAATAATGAGGTATTCGCGATGATCACCTGTCAAGTTAGTCACGTCAGGTAACCATCAGGAGGACATAACTCTTTTTTACCACCTCTTCCCTTGACGTGCCAGTGATCCTTGGTTTTCCGTGGTTGCAGAAGCACAATCCACACATTGACTGGACAGGGAAGAGAGTAGCGAGTTGGAGTCTGTTTTGTCTCGCCAACTGTTTAAAGTCAGCCTTGCCCTCGGGGGCTTCTGTTTCTCCTCCATTGGTTGTCTCCCCCCCTGACCTTACCTCTGTCCCTCCTGAATATCATGATCTACGAGAGGTGTTCAGTAAGGACAGGGCTCAGTCGCTGCCTCCTCATCGACCTTATGATTGTGCCATTGATCTTCTCCCTGGTGCTCCTTTGCCCTCCAGCCGTCTTTATAACCTGTCCCGTCCGGAGAGGGGGGCTATGGAGAAGTACATCCAGGACTCGCTAGCAGCCGGTCTCATTCGTCCTTCTTCCTCACCGGTGGCCGCCGGTTTCTTTTTTGTGTCTAAGAAGGATTCATCGCTCCGGCCGTGCATCGATTACAGGGGACTTAATGCGATCACAATTAAGAACAAGTATCCCCTACCTTTGATCAACTCTGCTTTCGAACCCCTCCGCGGTGCCACTGTCTTCTCCAAGCTGGACTTGAGGAACGCATACCACCTTGTCCGCATAAGGGAGGATGACGAGTGGAAGACTGCTTTTAACACTCCTCTGGGGCATTTTGAATACCTGGTAATGCCGTTTGGCCTCACCAATGCCCCTGCAGTCTTCCAGGCACTAGTGAATGACGTGCTCCGGGATTTCCTGAATGTTTTCGTGTTTGTTTACCTGGATGATATTTTGATCTTTTCTCGATCCCTCGAGGAGCATCAGGTGCATGTCCGGAGTGTGCTGCAGCGACTGTTGGAGAACCGCCTTTAATCAAATCAATCCAATCAAATCAAATCACTTTTATTGTCACATCACATGTGCAGGCACACTGGCACAGCACATGCGAGTGAAATTCTTGTGTGCGAGCCCCACAAGCAACAGAGATGTGCAAACACAACAACACAAACGAGCAAAATACAAGAATGGCCAACCTGAAACCAATAAATATATGTACAATATATAATAGTGTATGCATTTCTGGATGTGTATACTAAATATTTTCCTGTGTGTGTGTGTGTGTGTGTGTGTGTGTGTGTACACACATTTTTACAAATTAAATAGTAAAAAAAAAAAAAAAAAAATTATAATAAAATATATAAAATATACAGAGTTGAATATGTGCAAAACAAGTGGCATTTGTATACAGTGTGGAGTGCATAATGTTGAAGTTCCAGTAGTGAAGCTGAGGTGTCTATGACGTGTTCAGCAGTCTGATGGCCTGATGAAAAAAGCTGTCTCTCAGTCTGCTGGTACGGGACCGGATGCTGCAGAACCTCCTTCCTGATGGAAGCAGTCTGAACAGTTTATGGCTGGGGTGACTGGAGTCCTTGATGATCCTCCCCGCTTTCCTCAGGCAGCGCTTCCTGTAGATGTCTTGGAGGGAGGGAAGTTCACCTCCAATTATCCGTTCAGAGCACCGCACTACTCGCTGGAGAGCTTTGCAGTTGTAGGCGGTGCTGTTGCCATACCAGGTGGTGATGCATCCAGTGAGGATGCTCTCAATGGCACAGTGATAGAAGGTCCTGAGGATGCGGGGGCTCATGCCGAATCTTTTCAGTCTCCTGAGAAAGAAGAGGCGCTGCTGCGCCTTCTTCACTGTTTTGTTTGTGTGTACTGACCACGTAAGATCCTCAGCCAGATGTACTCCAAGGAACCGGAAGCTGCTCACTCTCTCCACAGCAGCGCCGTTGATGGTGATGGGGGTGTGTACTTCTCTGCACCTCCGGAAGTCCACTATCAACTCCTTTGTCTTTGCGACGTTGAGGGTGAGATGGTTGTCTTGACACCAGTGGGTCAGGGCGCTGACCTCCTCCCTGTAAGCCGTCTCATCACCGTTGGTGATAAGACCCACCACTGTAGTGTCGTCCGCAAACTTCACAATGATGTTGGAGCTGTTAGTGGCTGTGCAGTCGTAGGTGTAGAGTGAGTACAGGAGAGGGCTCAGTACACACCCCTGTGGAGCACCAGTGTTCAGTGTGATGGGGGATGAGGTGATGCTGCCCAGTCTGACCACCTGGCGTCTGTCAGACAGGAAGCTAAGGATCCAGCTGCAGAGGGAGCTGCTCAGTCCTAGATCCTGCAGTTTCCTGTCCAGCTTCGAGGGAACGATGGTATTGAATGCTGAGCTGTAATCTACAAACAGCATCCTCACATACGTGTCTCTCTTCTCCAGGTGTGACAGGGCAGTGTGTAGTGTCAGGGCTATGGCATCATCAGTGGACCTGTTGTGGCGGTATGCAAACTGTAGAGGGTCCAGTGAGTCGGGTAGTGCAGAGCAGATGAAGTCCCTGACCAGCTTCTCGAAGCATTTGCTTACGATGGGGGTCAGGGCTACAGGTCGCCAGTCGTTCAATGAGGAGATGGTGGAGGATTTGGGTACAGGGACGATGGTGGCCATTTTGAAGCAGGCTGGGACTACAGACAGAGAGAGGGAAAGGTTGAAGATGTGCGTGAACACTCCAGCCAGCTGAGCCGCGCGTGACCTGAGGACGCGGCCGGGAATCCCGTCCGGACCAGTAGCTTTGCGTGCGTTCACCTTCCTGAAGCACTTCCGCACATCCTCCTCAGACACAGTGTGCGCACTGACGTCATCCGCGGTGCGCACACTGTCCGGTCTCATGGTGTTCGCTGTGTCGAATCTAGCGTAGAATACGTTTAGATCCTCACACAGAGAGGCCGTGGTCTGCGGTGTGCTGGTTTTCCCTCTAAAGTCTGTGATCGTGTTTAGTCCCTGCCACATACTCCGAGGGTTGTCAAACTGTTGCTCCACCCTGTCCCTGTACTCACGTTTGGCTGCTTTGATCGTCTTCCGGAGTTGGTAATGTGCGTGTTTGTAGTCCGATGTGTTCGCGGAGGCAAAGGCGGTGTTCCGTGCCGCGCGAACATCTCCGTTAATCCAGGGTTTTTGATTTGGGAAGGATTTGACTGTTCTGGATGGGACGACATCTTCCACGCATTTCCTGATAAATCCACAGACTGAGTCTGTGTATTCATCAATGTCTCTGGCGGCCACGTGAAACATTTCTCAGTCCGCGTGATCAAAACAGTCCCGCAGCGCAGACTCCTTTATGTGAAGGCCGAGAAGTGTGACTTTCACGTCTCGTCTATCTCATTTCTGGGCTACCTACTGGCGGAAGGGCAGGTGAAGACGGACCCTGTAAAGGTTAAGGCAGTGGTGGAGTGGCTCGTTCCTGATTCACGCAGACAGCTGCAGCAGTTCCTTGGCTTTGCGAATTTCTACAGGCGCTTTGTCAGGGACTACAGACGGGTGGCTGCGCCTCTCACCCGCCTTACTTTCTCCCGGGTCCCCTTCGTTTGGTCTCCCGAGGCTCACTCGGCCTTCGCCACGCTCAAACGGCTTTTTTCTTCGGCTCCTGTTTTGGTCCATCCTGACACAAGTAAGCAGTTCGTGGTGGAGGTTGATGCTTCGAGCGTGGGGGTGGGGGCTGTGCTGTCTCAGCGTTCTGGTCCTCGTGGCAAGCTCCAACCCTGCGCCTACTTTTCTCGGCGCCTTTCTCCTGCCGAACGGAATTATGACGTTGGGGATAGGGAGCTCCTGGCCATTAATTTGGCTTTGGAGGAGTGGCGCCACTGGCTGGAGGGGACGGAACATCCGTTTATCATCTGGACAGATCACAAGAATCTGACTTATCTCAGATCGGCTAAAAGACTGAACTCCCGCCAGGCTCGGTTGTCCCTTTTCTTTGCCCGATTTAATTTTGACATTTCCTATCGCCCGGGTTCCAGAAATCTTAAACCCGATGCCCTGTCTCGCCAGTACTCCTCGGACTTGGACTCCCGGGACCCTGAGCTCATTCTCCCTTCCACCTGCAGAATTGGCTCCCTCACCTGGGATATGGAGGAGGCCATACGCCAAGGACTACGAGAAGACACCGATCCAGGAACTGGCCCACCCGGTCGGCGTTTTGTACCCTCTGCCGCCCGGTCGGCTGTGATCCATTGGGTCCATACAGCCCGGTTTACTTGCCACCCGGGAGTGAGTAGGACCACGGCTCTGTTGAAGAGGTATTTCTGGTGGCGTTCCATGGACAAGGATGTGAAGGCTTATGTGGCTGCCTGTTCTGTTTGTGCCCGTAATAAGTCCTCCAATCGGCCCCCGTCTGGCTTACTCCGACCGCTTAGTACTCCGCATAGGCCTTGGTCTCATATCGCCTTGGATTTTGTTACCGGCCTCCCGGCTTCTTCGGGGAAGACGGTGGTTCTGTCCATAGTCGATCGGTTTTCCAAAGCGGCTCATTTCGTAGCCCTAGACAAGCTGCCGACGGCTGCTGAGACCACCCAGATCCTTATGGACCATGTATTCCGACTTCATGGCATACCCTCGGAAATTGTGTCTGACAGGGGGCCTCAGTTTGTCTCCGGAGTGTGGAGGGCCTTCTGTACAGCCCTGGGTGCCAAAGCCAACTTGAGTTCTGGTTTCCATCCGCAGACCAATGGCCAGACTGAACGTTTGAACCAGGAGTTGGAATCCGCTCTTCGCTGCGTCTCATCTCAGAACCCGGCTGCCTGGTCGTCTCAGTTGCCTTGGGTGGAATACGCCCATAATTCTCTCACGTCTTCGCCGCGGTCGTGGTGTCCAGTACCTGGTGGACTGGGAGGGGTATGGGCCTGAGGAGCGTTCTTGGGTTCCTCGGTCGCTCATTCTGGACCCGTCCCTGATTGCTGCGTTTCGCTCCTCCCCTCGCAGGGCCCGGTCCAGGGGGTCGCCGGGTGGTGACCCTTGAGGGGGAGGTACTGTCATATGCTGTGGGAGTGTCTGGTCAGGCATGGTCCAGGTTCCTGTCATCCGTCCTTTGGGGTGGAGTTGGCCAGCTCATCACCTGTTTTCAATCTCCGGGGTTCCACCTAGAGGGTTTTTAAGCCAGCACTGCCTGCCACTCCTCGCCAGTTCGTCCTGCTACCATCTGTGATTCATCACCCGTCGCACTCACCAGTAGTGCTGGTTCCGTCTCCATCCTGTTTTTCCGTCTCCTCGGAACCCAAGGACCACATACACAACTTCTCCTCAGCCTGCCCTTCAGTCCATACTCTCCACCTCCTTGGAATCTGGACCGGACTCTCCACACTCTCGATCCTCTCTGGAATGCTCCCATGGCAGCCTTTTCCCCCGCTTAATAACCAGGGTCTCCAAGTAAGCCCAAGACTATCCACTGGCACTCCATACCTCTGTCCCTTACTCGTTTGTCACTCAGTAACACCCTTCTCCTGTGTTTACAGAAAGTTCCCGTTCGAGTTCTCCCTGTGCTCTACGCCTGTTTCCCCGCCCACGGATTTCCCTTAGTTTCTGCGAATGGTTTCTGTTAAACCCAGTTCTGTTCACGTTTTTGTTCCTTCTAATAAATTATACATAGTTCGAGTTTTTGAGTCCACCGCATCCTTGTTTGTGACAACCATTCCTTTAACGTTAACTAGTAATGACTTCATGAACTTCTTCACAAATAAAATTTTAGCCATTAGAGAAAAAATTACTCATAATCATCTCACAGATGTAACATTATCTACAGCTACCGTACAGTACCATTGATATTCATTTAGAGCCTTTTTCTCTAATTGTTCTTTCTGAGTTAACTTCAGTAATTACTTCCTCAAAACCATCAATGTGTCCTTTTAGACCCCAAGCCTGCTCAAAGAAGTCCTGCCATTAATTAATGCTTCAATATTAAATATGATCAAGCTATCCCTAATAATCGGCTATGTACCACAGGCCTTCAAGCTGGCAGTATTTAAACCTTTACTTAAAACGCCATCTCTAGACCCAGCTGTCTTAGCTAATTATAGGCCAATCTCCAACCTTCCTTTCATATAAAAAATTCTTGAAAGAGTAGTTGTCAAACAGCTACTTGATCATCTGCAGAGGAATGGCTTATTCGAAGAGTTTCAGTCAGGTTTCAGAGCTCATCACAGCACAGAAACAGCTTTAGTGAAGTTTACAAATGATCTTCTTATGGCCTCTGACAGTGGACTCATCTCTGTGCTTGTCCTGCTAGACCTCAGTGCAGCGTTCGATACTGTCGACCATGCTGTAGGTATTACAGGTACTGCGCTGGTTTGCAGTGGTTTGTATTATATCTATCTAATAAACTTCAATTTGTTCGTGTAAATGGTCAATTATGGAGTTCCACAGGGTTCAGTGCTAGGCTGTATCATCAGAAAGCATAGCATACATTTTCACTGCTATGCAGATGACACCCAACTTTATCTATCTATGAAGCCAGATAACACACACCAATTAGTTAAACTACAGGAATGTTAAGACCTTGATGGCCTCTAACTTTCTACTTCTAAATTCAGATAAAACTGAGGTTATTATATATGGCCTTGAAAATCTTAGAAATATGGTATCTAACCAGATTCTTACTCTGTATTCATTACCTTGTCATTGTAGTAATCTTTGACCAGGACATGTCCTTCAATGCACATATTAAACAAATATGTAAGACTGCTTTCTTCCATTTGCGAAATATCTCTAAAATTAGAAATATCCTGTCTCAGAGTGACGCTGAAAAACTAGTTCATGCATTTATTACTTCCAGGCTGGACTACTGTAATTCATTATTATCAGGATGTCCTAAAAACCCTGAAAAGCCTTCAGTTAATCCAAAATGCTGCAGCAAGAGTACTGACAAGGACTAGAAAGAGAGAGCATATTTCTCCTGTTTTGGCTTCCCTTCATTGGCTCCCTCTTAAATCCAGAATTGGATTTAAAATCATGCTCCTTGCATAAAAGGTCTTGAATAATCAGGCCCCATCTTATCTTAATGACCTTATAGTACCATATCACCCCATTAGAGCACTTTGCTCTCACACTGCAGGCTTATTTGTTGTTCCTAGAGTATTTAAAAGTAGACCGGGAGGCATAGCCTCCAGTTTTCAGGCCCCTCTTCTGTGGAACCAGCTTCCAGATTAGATTCAAGAGACATAGACTATCTCTACTTTTAAGATTAGGCTTAAAACTTTCCTTTTTGCTAAAGCATATAGTTAGGGCTGGATCAGGTGACCCTGAATCCTCCCTTAGTTATGTTGCAATAGACGTAGGCTGCTGGGGGATTCCCATGATGCATTGAGTATTTCTTCTTCAGTCTTCTTCAGTTCACACTCTGCAATTAATTATTAGTCATTATTAATCTCTGGCTCTCTTTCACAGCATGTCTTTTATCCTGCTTTCCTTCTCTCACCCCAACCGGTCACGGCAGATAGCTGCCCCTCCCTCAGCCTGGTTCTGCCAGAGGTTTCTTCATGCTAAAAGGAAGTTTTTCCTTCCCACTGCCGCCAAAGTGCTTGCTCATAGGGGGTCATAAGATTGTTGGGTTTGTCTCTGTATGTATTTTTGTAGGGTCTACCTTACAATATAAAGCACCTTGAGGCAACTGTTGTGATTTGGTGCTGTATAAATAAAACTGAATTGAATTGAACAAGTATCTATACTTCTACTTAAGTACAGAATGTACTTTTGCCAACTCTGGTTTTAAACGATGCCAAAGTGGCTTCAGAGACTTAAAGTCGTAAAACGAGTCAGCATTGTGGACTTCCTGCAATCTCATCCAAGTCGACAGGTTCTGTGAGTTACATTCCAAATCATTCCAAGATGAGACTCTGAGTTAAAATGAAATTAAATCATGATGTTTCCAAGAGAAAAGCTTTTGTTTTGGCAAGACGTGTAGAAAACTTGAAGCCAACTTCCCATTGGCCTTTGGACTTCCTGTTATTATAATAATAAAATTAAAAAAAAAATAATAATAATACATTTTATTTGAGGGCGCCTTTCTAAAACCCAAGGTCAAAGAGAAAAAGTTACCAATAAAACAGTAGATTCAAATAGATTCTAATAAATTAAATTACAAAAAACAACAAATAAAAACAAACAAAAAAACAACAACATTTGACAGCAAGTAAAATCTGTATTAAAGCGAGTAAGCCAGTTTAAACAAGTAGGTTTTGAGTTGTGACTTAAATAAGGGAAGGGAATCTATATTTCTGAAGGCTGAAGGAAGTGAGTTCCAGAGCCGAGGAGCAGAGTGACTGAAAGCTCTGTGCCCCATAGTGATAAGGCGAGCAGAAGGAACAACAAGATGAGTGGCAGATGAAGATGTCAGAGAGCGGGAAACAGTGGTTATTCTACCCTCACTGCTACACTGGATACAGTTATGCAGGTAGATAAACTCCTCGACAACTGACAGGTGTATCGTCCCTTTTATTGACGCTGCCTTCAATTATCAACAGAGTGAAACTACAAACAGAAGGAATAAGCAATATTCAGTCTATATATTCACACGATAATGCAAATCAGTTGGCTAAACTAGCTAACATTGGAAAGAAAGTAAATCTGAATACAGTACACCTTTAACCATAAAAGTGCATAAATAATAGCAAATATAGTTGCATTAACTCTTGTTCAACTTAAATACTCACAAGCGATGCTTTCTGTAAAACAACGAAGAGGATGGATGCAGATGTTTATCTGAACAACATGCTGAGTCAGTCTTTTCTCAAAGTGTGCTGCATTACTAACTCTACAGCTAATAACAAACAAATCTTGGCATGAAAGAACTGTAGCGACTCTTGCTGCTGGGAAGAAGAACTACACCAGCACAGTGGTGATATGAAGCAGATCACAGAAATAAGGAGGGGCAAGGTTATAAATAAACTTAAACGTGAGAACTAAGATTTTGAAATTTATCCTGGGCAACCAGTGAAGCTGTTAAAGAATTGGGGTAATATGGGAGTATGAGTTATGACCTGGAGCTGGAGTATTCTGAAAAAGTTGAAGTTTATGGAGGGACTTGTTGGGGAGACCAAATAAAAGGGAGTTGGAATAATTGACCTGGGAAGTAATAAGACTACGGACAAGGATGGCATCCGCATGGGGAGTAAGGGATGAAGTCAATTAATGTTATGTAAGTGAAAGTATGCAGACCAGGTTATGTAATTAATGTGAGACTGAAATGAGAGAGTACTGTCGAGTATGAAACCCAAACTTTTTACCTGTGGGGAAGGAAGGATGGGGGAATTTTCAATATTAATGGAGAAACTGTGTGAGATTTGGTTAAGATAGATGCTTTACCAACAAGTAAAACTTATGTTTTATTACTGTTAAGTTTGAGATAATTGAAGGAGAACCATGATCTGATCTCCAGTTCGAGAGCGAGTTAGGTGGAAGGGATGAATTAGGTTTGGAGGAAATGTAGAGCTGGGTGTCATCAGCATAACAATGAAAATTGATATTATATTTTCGAAATATTTGGCCAAGAGAGAGCATGTAGATAATGAAAAAGGGCCCTAATACTGAATCCTGGGGCACACCAGCAGAAACAGGAAAGAAACTTGAAGAGTGTGATTTAAATTGGATAAACTGAGAGATATGATGCACCAGGCAAGTGAGGTGTGACTAATGCCAATGGATGCTAATTATGCTCAGGAGGATATTATGAGAAACGGTGTCAAATGCCGGACTAAGATCGAGAAGGATGAGGATGGTTAAAAGACCAGAGTCAGCTGCCATCAGAAGGTCATTAGTAATCCTTAACAAAGCCGTTTCTGTATCATGATTTGGGCAGAAACCAGACTGAAATTTTTCATAGAGATTATGGTCATTGAGGTATGAGTGAAGCTGGAAGGCAACAACTTTCTCAAGGATTTTCAAAATAAAGGTGAGGTTTGATACAGGGCAGAGATTATCAAAATTATTGGGATCTGCACCAGGCTTTTTGAGAATTGGAGTGAAAGAAGCAGTTTTCAAGGATGGAAGAATAACCCCTTACTCACCTGCAGGCACAATGACAATAAGACATTCCTGGTTTGGGTGAACGAGGAGGATCATCTGCGTGTCATCAGCATGCAGAAAGGAGGAAACATGAGGGAGGTGTTCACCCGCTTCTGCACTGGCCTCACCAAGGTCAGCACGCCACTTCCTATTTCCCTCACCCCATAGTGTCACACCTGAAGCCGTCTAACCTGTCTCACCTCTCTCTCTGGCAGATCGAGGAACTGTTTAAGGAGCGAGGTCATGAATTCATGTGGAACGAGCACCTGGGCTACATCCTCACCTGCCCGTCCAACCTGGGCACCGGCCTGCGAGCTGGCGTCCACGTCAAGCTGCCAAACGTGAGCAAGCACGAGAAGTTCGGCGAGATCTTGAAGAGGCTGCGGCTGCAGAAGCGAGGAACAGGTAGGAGCACGCACAGCAGACGGGAAGGAACACCTGTCCTCGCTGTCTCATTCATCACTTCCTGTCTGTGTCTAAGGTGGTGTGGACACTGCAGCAGTGGGTGGAGTCTTTGACATCTCCAACGCGGACCGCCTGGGTTTCTCAGAGGTGGAGCTGGTGCAAATGGTGGTGGATGGCATTAACCTGCTGGT